TGCGACTACAAGACAGCATTGGAGTCCTTCTTTGCTGTTGTGTTGCAGGATCAGATGTAGTGTTGTGATGTTCTTGCATAGTGTCCACACTCATGGCACCATCATCGACCATACACTTTCGTCTTACCCAACAGCGGCATACATGACAAATTGGTTTTTCCTCGTCACTTGTATAGATGAAGATATGAGGCTTGATGGGATGACAATGTAGCCTGGCTGATGCGCTGCGGTCGCATCGAGGGTTGGTGTGGGAGCCTTTGCTCTGTTGTAGATGGCGTTGACGTAGGCGTAGCGGTGCTGTCGTGCTAGTCCGATGGACTGCAATGCTGTTGGGTGATTGATCCTACAAAGGAATAGGAAGATGATGATTGTGAGGAGGAGGAGGAGGAGGAGGGGGAGAATTTACAAACAACTTTGTGAAATACCAATACGCTTGAATTCATTTTAGATTACATTAATTACGTGTCCTTTGCTTACCTTAGCCCTTGCTGTACTTTTCCACCTCCCATTTGCCGAAGTGCTTATTCCCACCGACATTTTGGCGCACCTTTGTCCATACTTTCGATTAACATTTCCGTATATTGTATGTTATTGCAAAGAAGATACGCCTTCTGCGTGGACAAGGCTTCGAGTTTTATCGCATTCTCAACATTTGTCTTCATTTTTTTACACCTTGGTGACCGTCATTTCGCCGTTCCGGATGCGTGCACAGGGCAGTCGCAAGATTTACTCAAGTTAGAGGTAAGTCGCGCCACCTTTGCCTCTGCTTCCTTTTCACGCCCCATCCATTATTAGTGCAATCATCTCTGTCATTACCTCGCATGATACGCATTGTTGAGTCGACAGTTGTAAGGCAAGTTTGTGCGTACGTAAGTGTCGGCAGAGGTAAGGAGGCACTAAAGAAATAATTAACAAGGAGAAATTAGCACTCATAGCGACGGCAACATTCTCCTCAACTTGTTCTTTGCCACACGAGATGTCGCGCCATTTGTACCCATGAGACA